CGTCGCCATCTTGTAAACAACCCGCGCGCTGAGCGAACAGCGTTTTGAATTTGCGCGCAAACGCTCGCGAGCGCTCGCGAGCGCAGTGTCGTTCAGAAGGCGAGCGCTTGCGAGCGTTCGGTCTCCTGAACACGCCTCCGCTGTTGATTACACATTTGGACATTGCAGAACATTTGCGGTGCACGTCTGCCAAATTTCCTTGAAACACTTGCTGGAAAAATACGGTAATTCCGCGAGGCCGTGCTCTGGAACGAACTGTAGTAAGCGCATATCTGCGACAGCCAAGCTCACACATCCCCTAGCTAGACCGTACACTGCGCATGCGCCATCGGCATTTCTGATAACAACTTACAGATGGGAAATTACTGTTGTTTGTATTACATGGGACCTGTCTGATGGCAACGACTTATAAATGACGACTTAGGCGGGGCTATTCCAATGGATTTACTATGAGAGAAAATCGGGACTTTGACTTCCATGACGACTTATGCGAATTGATGAGTTAGACGATGACGACTTATGCGAGTTTTACTGTATATAAACACGAAGGGTATTTACAACCAAAGTCTCACTGTTTATGTATTCTCTTATTGACTAATAATTCCACGTAAATGTCGTTCAAATGATCCTCTGCCACACACAATTTCACCGCACCCATACCGCTGTGCACAAAGTCACGGAAAGATTGCGCCAGTGGGTCTGTGGGGGGATCCCCAGAACAATTTTGATTTTAGATTATCGGAGATACATTCCGAAGCTGGCTACTTTAGCATTGGGATTTAATTTAAATCAACATTAGGAAGCTTGCTGAAATTTAGCGATCAAATTGACATTTGCACAAATCGTAGCTACAGATTTGGGTATTCCTGGCTCTCACTAGCAGGTCTGGGTGGCCAAGACATGCTATTAGCCTTTACGAATCTTTACTAGCCTCAGACAAGCGGACAAACGTTAGTTTCAAGCCCTGGTACAATGTAGTAATAAAACTGGTAGTTTGGTTCTAGGTTTGAGTACTGCGGAGCAACCCTACATGATGATTGTTTAGATGACATCACACTAGGATTATGGAAAGTGGATCTACTGACTGTTCTTGATAAGCTCACCTCAGGACCTCAAGTGTGTACGGGTTTAATTTACATTTAGAAGACCTTTTAGATAACAACATGCAAATTTTTCAGTTTTTAAAGGAATAATATTCGACAAAAAAACACTTGGACATTCATTTATAGGGGCTATCTATGACAATCATATTTTCCCATTTTTTAAATTTCTAAACATCCCAGTTTAATATTTTAAAATCACGCTGGAATATGCCCAATTTATTGAAACTGATGTCATTCATTCTAAAGGTCATGAAATATCATGAAAATTCTATTGTTCCACAACCCCAAATATTTAGATACTCGTCGGATCTAGCATGGGAGGCTGGTTATCACTGTTAGCTGCTATGGAATGGCCTGAGAGAGTGTGTGGTATTGTTGGAATTGCCACAGCATCCGACTTTCTTGCAACGAAGTATGAAAAGTACCTAACTGAGGAGGTGAGTGTTATGAGGTTTCTTCTCTCAAGGACTCTGTAATACCTAATTGTGTACGGAAAACTTTCTGCAAGCAAGAACATGTATTTATAGTCCCTGTGGGCATAAATAATATTAGAAGTCAGTCAGTCACCTTACATTTAAGTTTGATTGCAATGGCAAGATGCTGAGTGAGGTAATTTCTAATCTATGATTGCCATAGTGATGGTTAGTTAGGGTGGATACTTGAGATTGATATTAGCACATATATACAGAGATCGCTTGACTCAGATAGACTCCATTACTTGATCATATAATTATGTGGGTGAGTGATTTCAGCAAAAGAGAGAGTTGGATGAAACCGGCAGGCTGTCCTTTGCCGATCCAGACAGTGGCTCCATCACAAAAAACATGGTGGAAGAGAGTAGACGGCATCATCTGCTTACACGCACATCGATTCCGGTAAGGTGCCCCCTGCGATTTATTCACGGAATGGAGGATGAGAGCGTGCCCTACAAGATCTCACTGCAGCTAGCTGAACTCTCAGAGGCAGACGATGTTGATGTCATTCTTCGCAAGAACGGCAGGCACAGAATGTCAGAGGAAGAAGACATAAGACTGATTGTAACGACTCTTGATTCTCTCATTAAACGGCTGTCTTGCACATAATTTGAGTATCACGTCATAGCGAAGCTGCAAATCATTAATATGGGAGTCACACGTAGTTATAAGTGGTATGGATTTGCTTATACAAGATTGAAATTACTTGTCTATCTCTAGAAAGTGAAAGAACGTTTTTTTATCATGCAAATTTTACTTGATTGAGACATGCTTCTAATTCAAATTTAAAAGGATTTAAGTTCAGTAAAATTCAAAGCTTAATAAATTGATTGATTGTTGGTTTTTAAAACTTAACTCATAAATCACAATGTGAACCATTCATAATTGTCCAAATTATGTCATTATTTCAACATACAATTATATTAGCTAGATATGTAAATACATTCGTTAAACTAATAAAAGGTGCCAAAAGTTTTGAGCCTTTAGGAATATGTTGATGATCATGAAGGGTATGTGCAATACATCAAAAATTAATTAAGATCCTTGTTGTGTTAGACATACATGATGTCAGAAAGGTGACACAGTTTGTAAGTGACGTTTGTACTATTGCTAAAGGGTCAGTGATAAAACAATAACAAAAAAAGATTGATGAACAATTAAATTGAAGGAATAATTTACTTTAATGTGTGTGAAAGGTCCCTAACCAGATAACATGTACACGTATATGCAGATGAACTCTGGAAATCACAGAAAAATATTTTAGTTGCTTCTAATGTACACAAGAGTGACAATCAATCAACAGTTACATAATTTCCATTTAATATCAGGACATAATCCTCAGGACATCTTTGACTGCCTAATTTCATCCAGTAAAACTCAGTGTGCGAAATTAACGGAGTCCGGACTTAAATACTCCCTGATTTACTGTCGGACTCCCTCATTTGACATATGCAGGAGTCCGTGTGACTCCCTGAAAATTCTGCCATACTAACTAGTTCGTTCCGGAGAACGGCCTCGCGGAATTACCGTATTTTTTCAGCTAATGTCCAAAGAACATTTGGCAGACGTGCAACTGCATGAATCATAAAAATAAGCACATGCGTTATTGTTGATATCTTTAATTTTTAACCTCAGACTGCAGACTTCCTCATTTTGCTGCGGACACCCCTTTTTTTTAAGGTAGGGAGTCCGTTGGACTCCCGTGTTCAAAAGTTAATTTCTCCCCCTGAAAAGTGCTATTATTCTACATTATAATTCTTCACATATAAGCCTCGTCTACACGACGACGAACACCCGATAGCGATTATTACCGATTTATTATGCATGCGTGCGTGCGCACGTATATGTGCGTGCATGCGTATGTAAACGTGCGTGCGTGTGTGCGTGCGTGTGTATGTAAACGTGAGTGCGTGTATACGTGCGTGCGTGTGCACTTACACGTGCGTACATGCGTGCGTGTGAACTTACGGCCCCATGTAGACGCTTAACTCGAGTTAAGGTTCGTCGTGTAGACGAGGCTATAGTGAGTTCAGATAGTTATATCTGGCATGACACAGTTTCACAATGCACAAATACACCATAATACACTTTGTTCTTACTCAGGGAACAATACTACATGCAGGGGCGTGTACAGGGGGGGGGGTCCAGGGGGTACGGACCCCCCCCCTGCTCGCGCAGAAAACGCATCTGAGGTCTAATTTTTTCTGGGGGAGGGCCCCCCACACACCCCCTTCGCGTGCTCGCAAGTTTGGGTTACGGTCAGACCCCCCCTGGTACAAATCCTGTACACGCCCCTGACATGGCAAGAATTCATTATTACCAAAAATTTATCAATGCATATATATCAAATCACATCAAGTGATATGCATACATACCTAGTACCTACACTAATAATGATATATTTTTGGTATTATATGGTCCATTGCACGCATGCGAATGGAATGGAATTCGTGAACCAGTTTATATTTATGAGTGCTATATTTAAACAATGTTATTACTGAAAATAAAATTTATGATAGAGCCAACAAGCGATAGCTGCACTGAACATCTGGAGCGAGGACTACTTGCTTATCTAACGCATTGTCACAAGCTCCTCAGAGGAAGTCGGATGTATCGCGACTGTTTCATCAAAATCGCGCTTTGTGGCCCCCATCTTCATTGCAACGGCGAATCCCTGCAGGATCTCATCGCAGCCCTGACCAATCATGTGTAGACCAACGACCTTCTCCTGCAGCCCAACGCAGACGAGTTTCATCGAGACCTTCACCTTGCGGTCCGTGACGGCGTGGTACAGCGGCAAGAACGTAGACTTGTACACCTTCACGGCATCTGCTCCATGTTCCTTCACAGCCTCCTCCTCCGATATCCCGATCGTACCGACAGGAGGATGGCTGAAGATGACTGTTGGAATCAGGTTGTAGTCCAGCTTTGCGCCAACTTGCTTGTCGAAGATCCGCATTGCAAGTTTGCGTCCTGCGGCTATGGCAACGGGAGTCAGAAGTGCCTTGCCACATACGTCACCAAGGGCATAGATCCTCTCCGCGGTCGTGTTCTGGAACTCGTCGACCTTAATGTGACCTCTGGTATCAAGCTCGACCCCGATGTTCCTCAGGCCGAAGTCAGCGTTAGGCACACGCCCGATCGCCCATATGATGCAATCAACATCACTTATGGCACCGGTGGTGGTTTCCACCATTAGACGACCATCCGGCTGCTTCGTGACAGAATTGGTCTGAGTTTGTCGCTTGACCTGGACACCAATATTTTCCAGCTCGCCCGTCACCGATGTGCTGACAAGCGAGTCAAAGGCACGCAACACCTTATCGTACCTGCAACATCACCACAGCCATCTCAACACACAACTGCGATTTCAAAAACCTACTACGTAAATATTCCAGAACTGCTTTTTATTTGTAGCTTTCTCATATTTCTTCTAAATGTTATCTTATAGGCTTAATTGCACATTTCATTTCGAGATAGGCACCAGGCTATTAATATTTGTGTCACGTAACTACGTGCAGTTGTTTTGTGGGACAGTTTGAACATTCCATTACCGCGAATCTGAAGAAAGCAGGTGCACGTTAACTGTTCATTTACTGTTTTATAGCCTATAACAGCAGGAACTGCTAATAATTTTTACGCTGAAGTAACCAGTAATATGTATGTTGACAGGTGTCTAAATTTATTCATTTTCGATTTTAGTGAGAAACTCGTTTTAAATTACATGGAAAAGGCTTGGATTTTCAAATTGAACCAATGCTGATATTTCCACATTGATTCAATTTGTAAATCCAATCTTTTTTCTACATCAAATTTGTCTAAATTTATTCATTTTTCGATTTATTTTAGAAATGATCATTTTAACTCTAGTAATGATGGTCTGTATGATATGAAATAATGACGCACAGTTTTGATGCACATAACAAAGACACACCTGATGAGCAGGGACACATCTGAACCCAGCGTCTGCAATATTCCCGCTAATTCTACAGCGATATATCCTGCTCCAACGACGACCGATTTCTTAGGCAGGTCTTCCAATTCAAAGAAGCCATCACTTGTTATGCCGAGCTCAGCCCCAGGTAGCTTGGGTACGATCGGGTAACCACCTAATAGAAAGGCAAATTGCTGACAGTTATTTCATGTACATACGAACATGTATCACATTCTATCACATATATCACACAATTTCATTTCTGCAGGGTATATCTATGGTGTACGGTTTGTCAATTTAGTCAAACTATATGTCGGTTTACAAACACACACCATATTTCCGCCAACCATACACATTGTAACGCCACCAACATGTTATTTATAAAAACCTTATCTTCCTTTACAGAAACACGTGTACATATTTCCTACCAACAGGTGCGTGCGCCACCGAACCACAATTCCCCCCACACTAGTTTGCTAAACCATACTAGTAGTTGGTCAGCGAACGATACAAGTAGTTTGCAGAAACATGGTTTTCTGTGCGCAGTGTACGTTTGGCCTACGTACGTGGAGCGATAACGTAGCCTCGGGCGCATATGGCGGCCGCCGATTCCGAACCCCCCAACGGCCACCGCTCCTATTGAGCACACTGGCGCATTGTAAACAGCCCACCACCATGCGCTATTAACCTATGGGCCGTAGGAAAGTGTACTAACTAAAGATATTTTCAGAATTCCTATATGAGCGATATCGCACGTATATTTTTGCTAATTAATTAAACTATTTGTGCTTCAATAAACTCAATATTCACGGAGACCATAGCTAAGACATGTGTTTATATGTATCTCGAATTTTAGAAATGTAACTCAATTCGTTCGCGAGATATTAGAGTTAGTACACTTTCCTACGGCCCATAGCTTAATAGCGCATGGTGGTGGTGTTGGGGGGGGGGGGGGTTAACGGCTGCATGTGTGCGGCTGCAATGCGCCAGCGTGCTCAATAGGAGCGGTGGCCGTTGGAGGGTTCGGAATCGGCGGCCGCCATATGCGCCCGAGGTTACGTTATCGCTGCACGTACGTATGTCAAAGGTTGCACACTGCGTGCGGAAAACCATGTTTCTACTACAGCCTAGAGATGGGATGGGATGGGATATGGGATGGGATGCGGTGCAATGGGATGGGATAGGATGGCATCGAATGGGATGGATGGATGGATGCATGGATAGATAGATAGTTTGATTTTTTGGGGTATTTTCCTTTCAACCAATCGGTCACCAACTGAGTAATGTCACTTATTTCCCCGGGCAACGCCGGGTATCCCGCTAGTACTATATATATAAATTGATAGCAAATCTAACCATAGCAATAAACTATGCTGAAGCTAATTTTCCACATCCAATAAATCCTTTGAAATTCCTTAGTTGTGTAATTGACATGCCTTAATTTCCAGCTTTTTTTCATATATTTCTATTTCTTTCTAATCTTTCTTTGTTTATTAGGTAAAAACAGTTCTTAAAAATCACACAGATGGTTATTCTTTTTTTAATCTGTAATGGCGAGGTGGGGCTTTTCCCTTCATCTATAAGCATAATTAATGCCTACTGAAATTCTAGGGGAGTATCCTGCATTGCGTTTTTCTTCTATGGATTTGTGACTATGATGTGGGGCCACAATGAAAAAAATCTTTGTTTGCCCTCACCCGACCCAGGCTGAAAAGTTTGGGTAGGTATAGGTAGGCTTTTTTTGAGGGGGTCTTTTTACAGATTCAGCATGGTGTCTATACATGCTCGGGTGTGCTTGTGTGGAGATACCTTTCATGTTGAATGTTTGTTTTGCTTGATACATATTATAATGTATTGCCTACAGATTTATAAAATGTACAGTGATACAATTTGTGAAAAAAAAAGAATGGGAAAGATCAATAAAAATCTTGAGTCCGCCCCTTTTTGGCGGGTCGGTCGGTGAGAGCAAACAAACGATGTTTTTATTATGGCCTGATGGAGAAGCTTTTCGCTCATGTGCTGTACCTGTAGTAATGAGTATGTGATCGCCAGAGTATCTCACTCCATTCACCTCAACACTGCGATCATCTGTAAGTGTCGCGTGACCACGAATAACATCGACCTTGCTCTTGTCCAGGTTGGTTGCATAGATATTGTTCAGTCTAGACACATAATCATCTCTCCTCTTCTTGATGACACCCCAATCAAATCCCTAAGTATAACACAGATGAAAAGTTAGAAATTGCAAAAATCCCCAAATCTCCCTACCCACCGCCACAGGGCTTTCCCATTCCTAATCAAAATTTTGGACTGCCGGATACGTCACCTTCAGTGGAACTGACATCTTCAAGGCACACTCCATAATACACTCACTTGAGCTGCAATTTCAAGTAGCACATGTGAAATCAGTGCACAGTGAGCAGGGTGTGAAATTAATACTCCTTAATTTACTGTCGGACTCCCTGATTTGACATATGCAGGAGTCCGTGTGACTCCCTGAAAATTCTACCATTCTAACTAGTTCATTCCAGAGCACGGCTTCGCGGAATTACCGTATTTTTTCAGTAAAAGTCCAAAGAAAATTTGACAGACGTGCAACCGCATGAATCTTAAAAATAAGCACGTGTTATTGTTAATATCTTTAATTTTGAACTTCAGACTGCGGACTCCCTCATTGTGCTACAGATCCCTCTTTTTGAGAGTAGGAATAGGGAGTCCGTTGGACTCCCGTGTTTAAAAGGTAATTTCTACCCCTGGTGAGTGAGCTGTGCACTATAGCGCACAGCGTGAGTGACAACAACAACATATAGTTGTATACACTGGCCATGCACGAGCGAACGCAATAACAATTTTCAGGGAGCCACACCAACTTTGGTGCAAATATTGGACAGAGCCCGTAAAACAGAGTATTTGCATCTCATTATTTAAAATGTTTCTTTATTTTACATTACACACGGTTGCAGATGTATTCCATCCTCTCATAGCTACAAAATCATTTAAACTTAGCAATTCTGCCAACATTGCATTATCATACATTAAGATTTATTATTTATGTGGGAGTAGGTGAGTACATACATACCTACCAACCTACCTTCCTACCTATCTACTAATTGACCAACCTAGCTTGGTAATGGTCTCAGGTGAATTCGTACAGGCTAGCTAGGCTCATAGGGTCTATGTCACCCAGGGTATTGCCGGAACGTACCCTGGTAACTATCTAATATGGTTAGGGCTAGGGTTAGGGTTAGGGAGTAGGCGTAGGCGACTCCCTAGACTCGTTAGTGGAGTAGGCGATGTACGGTCCGGCATATTAGATAGTACCAGGGTACGTTCCGGCAGTACCCTGGGGGACATAGACCCTCTCAGCGCTAGCTAGGGTTGGGCTGGCATTGGGTTAGGGTTATGGCGACGATGCAAGTACCGTATATGATCGCGTAATAACCGCAAATTTAGCCTCAGATTTCAACCCTGTATTTGCTCTGCGGTTTATAAGTGCGCCATACCGTGAGGGGAAATATTTGTTCATCGATCGTTGCTAAGTCTTGTCACTCGCGGGGGCGATAATGGGTGAATCTAACGTTCATTAATTTAAATGCATAAATCGTGTTTGCCTAAATTTTTTGATAATGTAGTATTAACTATGATTGAAATGTTTTTGAATTTGTATAAGGACTCTTCAAACATGTCATGATGTGCTCATAATCTGCTTACGAATCTGTCTAAAAGAGAGACAAAACTATGCCTGCGGTTTACACCTGAACTAGGCGCAATACTTGGTTACCCGATTCAAATTGAGGTGCGGCTTATAGGCGCCCGCGATTATTACGCGATCATATACGGTACATGATGGGTTCGAAAGTTAGCTTGAGCCCTCTGTCTCACCTTGACCTCAACATTGAATCCATAGTCCTTGTGGTCATGTAGCAACTCTGCGTGCGCGGCTGCGTTGAACATCACCTTCTTAGGCACACAGCCAACATTGACGCACGTACCTCCCAGACGACCACTTTCTACCAACCCAACACGAGCCCCATACTCTGCTGCTCGCCTTGCACTCGCGATGCCACCTGGAGATAATATTAGAATTTATATTAAGGTTGTTATATTCATGAATTTTTGCCAACAATGCTAATTAATAAATTATAACACACGTCATCGAAGTTCATTCAACAACTTTTACAGTTACGTGGATATGGTATACAGGGTTCTCCTTAAATATTTAACGCATGTCAGGGCTGACGTATCTTCAAAGCTGAAGCTAATTGTAATGATTATACAATTATGTTCCATTGTTGACACACATGCGCCATTCTCTTTGTGCAGCGAAGCTCGTGGTAATAAACCGGCTAACAATCTGCTCAAGCAACTTCACCTGTATTATGGTCATGCACTTTGCCAACCACACAATTATACTAATTTGCAACAATCATGAATCCTCCAACTTACCCTAATTGCCTAATCGACTTGCCTTAATTTCCAGATGCGTTTACTTTTGACAATTCTAACACAGTCATTATGAGTTGCCACAGCTTATGTATATGTTTCGCGAACGGGAGCTTAAATTGGTACAATTTACCCCCTCCAGACCATCCCCCATTCATTCATAAACGTGCTTTCAGAAATTCTTGGGAATAGTAACAAAACGTAGTGGGGGGGGGGGGTCCTTTGCGATCCTGTTTTGTACTTGGGATGTAGATCTATTCCAGTGTAATTTGTAGCTGTAAATGTAATGCATTTGTAGCTGTAATAGTCCTGTTAATACTTTATCGGACATTGTAAATACAGCACATAGGGCCTAATTTGTTACTAATTGTCATTTTGCTTCTGCTGTGTGGTATGCCGATAGTTATACTGAAGGGTAGATCCACCACCAGGGTTCTCCCCAGGATGAAATTGAAAAAGGGGGGAGGGGGAGGGGAAACTAGGGGGGTCCGGGGGCCTGGTCGAATGGGAATTCTTGCAGAGGTGGCCCCTCAATTGCCAGTAGCAGCAGCTATGGCAATTGCAGCAGCCTCCAAAGCTGACTCACTCAGCCTGTTCCCTGTTCCTCATGTAGTTTTTGACTATGCGCATGTGTGAACTGTTCAAAAGAGCTCTCTGCTGATTGGCTTAGCAGTGAGGGTGACCAGCCAATCACAGCGAAGCACACAAGTGTGCTTTGGTTACTGCTTGCAAAATGGCGGCATCAACAAACGATCGATTCCCGCGCTGTCAAACCTTTATTGTGGTGGAATTTAATCGGGGCGGAGGTAATTTAAACGTGACGCAACAATTGAAACGGGGCAAATTTTCCCAAGCGGGGCGAGCGCGCCCGGTTTGCGCAACGTAGGGAGGGGCCTGCAACACCTTAATTTGTACAGTGGGGTGAGAAAAGCCTGTTTTCACTCCAAAAAAAAACCAAGGACATGCGGTTCACAACTTTCATTGTGCAAAGCAGGTCCAAGCTCATGAGTGAAGTGATGAAGAATACAACCAGGGACATTGACAGCAGAACCTGCTGCCTTGTGAGCTAGTGGTCATGATTTTGAGTGCAGAACAATCAGTTACTGCAGCCCCTAACATTTTAACCTCTAACTAACACCTGAATGTTTGTACCTGCAATATTCCTCGCCAACAAAGACCATTTGCAAATATACACAACCCCTACAATATATACTACTCTGAGTTGGGTTACATTATTGTATCTAGCAGGGCTACTATCCACAAACTCACAGAAAGACAGTGTCTTTTTAGATATATATATTAGTGATGGGAATTGGCTGGAATTTCATAATCGATTATCGGTTTCCCTTAACCGATCGATAATCGATTATAATCGGATAATCGGTTAATAATAGCATAGATTTAATTTAATCTTACTTTGTATATACAATTATACATACTACATAGCATTCAATATTATCATGTTTTATGATCATGTATTAACTCTGTGAAGGTTGCTGTATGTATATCAATGTCTGTTCCTATACAGCATTTAATCAATTTAAAAAGAAATGGTTTAAATGCTGTTATTAAAACATTAAAAGTTTTAAACAAACATGATCAAGCAGTCCTTGTGTTTTAGAAAAGGCAGGCGAGTGAAAAATCACACACCTTGGCTTGCCAAATTAGGGGGGTTCGGGGGCAATATGGTGTGATGCAATGTATGCGTGCTATACGGTAGTTTGGGTCTCGTATGCGAGAGAACTTTGCGCATAAAAATATAATTCGAGTCTTCTGCATATAAAGCGAATGCGTGTCGTTTGTGTTCGTGGAACGGTTAGCATTCGTCATTGGTCCAGTGCATTGTAGCGCGCGGTGGAATAAATTGATATCACAACACACGCAGCTCTGCATACGTACGTATCAGTGTTCGAAATATAATTTTAATGACCCTGCGACCTTGACCTTGGATGGAAATGGCTCAGAATCAATAGGGGTTTCTCGCCCCATAAGATGCAGCTGTGGACCAAGATTGAAGTTTCTACCTCTTATGGTTGCAAAGATATCGAGAGGACAGACACACACACCGCCACATACACAAAACCGAAACGGCCACGAAAACAATTTCCTCCGCGGCACTGCGTGCGGAGGATAATTACTTGTACTTCGTCGAGTAGATGTGTTCGTCTGGTTAGCCTGTATTGTGTTATCTTAAAACACAAGGACTGACAAGACTTGTGCTCTACTTGTCATATCAATTCACACATCGTGAGTACAGTGTCTTGTTTGTTTGTTTTGGTATTTTCGATAATTGATTATTTGTTTTCATAATCGATTATCGAATTTGAGACTATAATCGATCGATTTTCGATTATAATCGATCATCGGGACATCACTAATATATATATATAGATATATATATTGATTGCATATATTTGATATTATTATAGATAGGTCTATATTTCTGTGAGTTTGTGCAGAGGCGTGCTTGTGTGCAGTGATATTTGTGTTGCATATCGGCATTTGATTGCACCAGCACTCACGTCGAATTATTAGGCGATAGCAACAATTTATGTTTATTTGTCATCATTCTACTATTGAAACGGCCCAAGTGCATCAGTGAGCCAGTCACATGCACTTAGAACGTTTCAATAATAAAATGATGGTAAATAAACACGAAATGTATTTACTACCAAAATCTTTGTTTCTCTACTATCTTTTGCCGATTATTGTTATGTTCTCGTTATGTTCTCATACTTGTCGGTGTCCACTACACTGGGATATAATGACAAGGGCTATAGCTAGCCATGGGGCGCGTGTGACCTAGCTTGGGTAAAGCCAGGTAGTTAGCCTTTTAGCCGAATGGCACTGAGGGTGGCACTAATATTACCGATAATTTCCTGTAGATGCTATTCAAATGCTCCTCTGCAACACACAAGTACACTGCATGCATACGCCACTGTGCACAATCACAAAATTATAGTTTTGTTTTTTTCTGAAGATATATTGTACATACAAGTGCATATTCAGTGTTCATTTTTGGGTGCGCGCCCTTGCGTTAGTAACGCAATATTTATTGTAAAGCCGCATCTGAATGCAGCATATCCGTGCCCACCCGACACAGATAAATTGTTATATGGACGCAAAATTATTTGGCAGTGGCTGGAGGTACGACAGTCCATTTGCTTTCATACAAACAAGACAAAGATGGCCGCGTCCAATTCAGATTTCGAAATAATGCATTGGGAAATAAATTCACAATTTGAGTTTTGATGAGCTAGAAAACACTCGGATTAGGTATGAAAATGAATATTATTGTAAACTTTACATCAGAAGATCGCAAATAATTGCCTCAGCCCACAAACAAACGCCAAAAGGGGCTTCAACGAACGACGGCTGCCGTACCTCCAGCCACTTTGAAATTATTTTGCGTCCATAACAATTTCGACGTGGATATTCGTCCAAGCAGTTGTTGCGCATGCGCTGTTCATGTTGCATGCTGCAGGCGTACGGCACGAGTGCCGTAGGTAGGAAGTGTGAAGGTCTGGGGGGTCAGGGAAAAAAATAGAATTTATTTTTCGGGGGCTACTTTTTAAGCGCGCGTGCATGAAAATAGCACTCTAAAATTTGGTTTGCATTGAACTCTATGCAAATTTACTGGGGCTCTTTTTGGCATTTCCGGGGCTCTTTTTGGCATTTCCGGGGCTCTTTTTGGCATTTCCGGGGCTCTTTTTGGCATTTCGGGGGCTAAATCACCACGAGCCACCGTGTATTTTTTTCACTGCCCCCCAGACAATTTTTAAATCTAGACGCTCTAAAATGGTATTTACCCTTTAGATTTTTGATTATTTTATGCCATTTAGGCTGGGGGCCCGTAGAGTTTTGCTACGGCAGCCCTACGGCTGTGACGCACCTGCATACATGCGTTGCATATGTGGTTATATACACCATAGATAGTGTTTGGTACTATCACTCGCGTATATATACAAAACCGAGCATATAATAAGAGAACCTAGTCGGTTAGTTAGTGTTAGGGTTAGGGCTGGGGTTAGGATTAGGGTTAGGGAGTAGGCGCCTCCCTAGACTAGCATTATATTACATTTATGTAATACAACATGAACAGCGCATGCTCAACAGCTGCTCGGACGAATAGCGCATACGAACAGGTGTCCGATGCTCGGACGAATATCCACGTCAGGGGCGGATCCAGAGGGTTTGGGTGACCAGTTTCCATAGTTCTCGTCACAGCTAGGGGGGTCCAGGGGCATGCCCCCTCGGGAATTTTTTTAAAATTAGGCTATATTTGGTGCATTCTGGTGAATTTTGAGGGTCAATTCTGAAGATACCCAGCCTGTGACCGGTTTCTGGAAACTGGTGCAAACCGGCCTAAATCCGCGCCTGCACGAGTGCACGTCCTAACAATTTATCTGTGTTGGGCGGCCGAGGCTATTCGCCCGACCGTCGGGTGTGTATTGCTACTGTCTATTCGCCGACCGTTTTGTTGATATCAAGAAATACAATTAATTCTTGATATCAAGACATATCCCTAACCCTAACCCTAACCCTAACAATGGAAGCAGTGGCGCGGAAATTCTAAAAATGGCAATATCGCGAGATCTCGCGCGTGGATAACCTCTCGTAGACTGGTTCATATCCTTATAGACTGTCGGGCGAATAGCTAGCCTTTTGTATACACCCGACCGTCGGGCCAATTACAGGCACTTGGAACGTCTCAATAAAAAAAATTAATGGTAAATAAACACGAAATGTACCAAAGTCTTAATGTTTCTCTATACTCTATTTCGCCTATAATCACCTGTAAATGCCGGTCAAATGCTCATATGCAACACACAAGTACACCGCACGCCCGCCCTGTGCTGCGTGCACAAACAACATGAATAAGACAGAATAAGATAGAGAATAAGATTATCTCTCTCTTAATATCTTCTTATTCATGTTGTTTGTGCACAGCGCGGGCGTGCAGTGTACTTGCGTGTTGCAGATAAGCATTTGACTGGCATTTACAGGTGATTATAGGCGAAGTAGAGTAGAGAAACATTAAGACTTTGGTACATTTCGTGTTTATTTACCATTAATTTTTTTTATTGAGACGTTCCAAGTGCCTGTGGGGCCAATAGTCACTCTCGTGTCAGCCGGGCACGGATGCTGCATTCGGTTCAAGGATAGAGAACATGGGGACTCCCAATAAAACCAATGGCAATGTCATTTACATCAATGACAATATAAATATAATATTATATCAATATAATAGGTTAGGGTTAGGGTTAGGGTCAGGGTTAGGGTTAGAATTAGGGTTAGGGTTAGGGTTATGCACATTGGTTTTAGTGGTACCCATGTTCTCTATCCTTGGGCCCTGCATTCTACGTACGAAGTGCCCTATACGAACTCGCTTTTGATGAACTGAGCTCAGTAGGCCTATTTACTATTTAGAGCCAGTAACTCACTATTTAGCAAGTAATAAACTTACCAGAGCCACCCCCAATCACCAAGAAATCGAAGCATTTCTTTATAACCGGTGCCATTCCCGATGATTACGGAAATTTCTGAATAACTACTGATTCACCTTGCACGTCCACAACACTGGTAACGACTCAACGGTATGATTTTTGCCTGTCACGCATGAGCTGCCGCTCATGCGCCGGGAAGCTCGCAAGTGCGCATGCGCAACTGCAAAGTTAGAGCATCCGATACAATGCCACGTCCGTAATAGACTGGTACTCGCTCCCACCTCGATTACTCGATGGGTTACCCATCAAGTAACTAAGCCGAGAGGTGGGACCGGGTACCAGTCCACGTCCGTAAATGCCTAGGTAAATGTAGACTAGTACCCGTTCGCCACCTTCAATCCGGCATATATCCTTCGCTACACTGTAGCGTGTGAACTGTCGACCGGGTACCAGTCTAAGGTAATGCCATGTTTACGCGATTTGTTTGACAAGTGACTACACAAACTAGTGGCAGAGCAAGCAAGGCAAGTAGTGCACAGTTCAGTCAGTTGTGTGTGCAGGTCGATAACAATTTTTTTGCCAAAATGGTTCTCAAAGGAATTTCTCCTCTTATATCACCGGATTTGCTACGCGTTCTCTCAGCCATGGGTCACGGTGACGAGATAGTACTGGCCGATATAAACTTTCCAACAAGCGCCACTTGCAAGTTCGGGGCACACGAGATAAGAGCGGATGGACATAACATACCTGACCTGTTGACTGGCATCTTGCGACTCTTTCCGTTGGACACCTATGTGACCTCACCAGCGGCAGTGATGCAAGTGGTACCGGACGATGTGCAAAAAGGCATAGTAATACCAGTTTGGGAGAAATACGAATTGATAATCATCGAATCGGAAGGAATGAATGTAGAGCTCGAGGAAGTGGAGCGCTTTGCTTTTTATAACAGAGCAAAGTCGGCATACGCAATTGTAGCTACAGGAGAGACTGCTCCTTATGGAAACCTCATCCTAAAGAAAGGAGTTGTTAGCCATGTGAGCGTGTAATACTAATAGAGTACTGAGTAGCTCAGCAGGGTACATTTGCGCAAGTAAGGCCCAAGTAGGATTGCCTCCATGTGATACCGACATTGATTGCATGCACAAAACAGCGATAACTATCACAGCGAAAACTTGGACATGCAGTCATCGTACGTTTCTAAGTGCATTTATGGCTGGATCTCCCAAGCAACAAAACCCACAGGGCACAGGCATGCAGAGACTCCAACCCTAAGCATTACCTAAACTGGAGATTCTCCAGCCTGGACCCCTGGCAAACTGGAGAACACACTCTGAGCACGCGGATCGCGAATTTCGAGCGCCTAAGGCGCTCGCCCATTACGTGTAGCGTCCAGGGGCCCGCCTGAGGGCCCTGGCAGGGGTTCCAGGGAGCAGCGCCCTGGAAGCTCCTGGATTTTAAGTTTTTTTTAGTATTGAAACAAGCTATTTTTTACACATTTGTTCGAAACAAATCGATCACAGCGCGCATGTACTGTAATATTACGAAGCCTGTGCATGTCTACATATCTCCATTAGATAGCTTGCGCACGATAAAGATTCAGATTGTGTGGGTATCAGCACTGCTATGCTGGCGCATGCGCACCGTACATACATGACGAAACAGTCTTGTTTTTTGTTTTTGTTTTTATTTTTTCTTTGTCTACATACATAGCTCTTGATCTAGCAGCTGTTCTGCTCGGTACACGCCGCTCAAATTCAGAGCACGCGCGTTGATAGAAAGACGCTCTGCTCACATACAGCACAAACATACAAAGCAACGACACAAATCCAAAATACGCGTTTAAGTCGTCATCGTCTAACTCATCAATTCGCACAAGTCGTCATGGAAGTCAAGGTCCCGATCTTCTCTCATAGTAAATCCATTGGAATAGCCCCGCCTAAGTCGTCATTTATAAGTCATCATTATGTACAAGTCGTCGCCCTCAGACAGGTCCCATGTAATACAAACGACAGTAGTTTCCCATCTGTAAGTCGTTATCAGAAATGCAGATGGCGCAGTGTACGGTCTAGGGGATGTGCAGGCTGGCTGTCGGAGATATGCGCTAATAAGCCCAGCGCACACGCGAGTAATTTTACTCAAGTAAAATTATGCATGCGTCAAAATACTCACGTGTGCGGCAGATTTTCGTTGAGTATTTTGACGCATGCATCATTTTACTTGAGTAAAATTACTCACGTGTGTGCCAGGCTTTAGGTCGAACCATGGTCGAACTGACGATCGCCTGTAGATTGTGCAACTGAGTTTACATGAGTTGTGAGAGTTACTGAGTTGTTGCTGTGTGCACTGATTGTTTTATTCGCATTGTTCGCTTGGACGCATTGTTTTTTTTCAGCTCGCGTGGAAACAGTCGCGTGGCGTCGCAAAAGTAGTTCATGTAGATATAAAGCCTGGCAAAATATCAGCTTGACACTCTCCAAGTCGTCGAAATATTGGCTTTGTAAATCGTGAAAATGACGATATACGCGCATAAGTCATCATTTGGGCGACTTACAAAGTTACATGTAAGTCGACAAAATGGTGTGTCATTTTCGTAAGTCTGCACAAATATGCTGGTCCCAAGTGTCGACTTATGCGAGTTTTACTGTAATTATGTGCGTGTGTGTGTGTGTGTGCGTGTGCGTGTGCGTGTGCATGTGCGTGTGCGTGTGCGCGTGTGCGTGTAAATGTGCAGTGCAGTGGTGTGAATAGTGATGAGAATTGGTTGGAATTTCATCATCGATCATCGGTTGCACCCAGCCAATCAGTGATCGAAGATAATCTGTTGAATGTTATTGATTGCGGCTACCAGATATTGAAATATACCATAAATAATAATCATATATGTAATAGTATTTTTATAATACAATAATCTAAAAGCCATGTAACAGTATTATGCTTGCTTAAGTTTTGTGTAGGTTAGATTTACTGTCATAAAAGATTCCTTTTATGTATGTTTGCAAATTTTATTTTAAATGAAAGTAAATTTAAATTAAAAAAATTTTTTTCTTTTGATAATTGATTAGGGACCATTCATAATTTATCTTGATAGGGGGGGTGGAGCAAACGATAGGGGGGGTACATGCAACTTTGACCATCGTACTAGGGGGGGTACATATAACTTTGACCATCATGATAGGGGGGGTATGTGCAACTTTGACCATATATATAAATGTATACATGCCAAAACTTACCGATTCACGCAGTAGACTACCGATTTCAAAGACTTCCACCGCCTACTGATTTTAATGTTCAATCATACAGCATTTGAAAATCAGGTAATTATGTCTGGGAATATATATATATATGTGTGTGTGTGTGTATGCTATAGTTATCACCATTGGTAGCCATTATGCACACAATTTGGAAAAACACAATTTAATACATGCTGATAACAGTTTGTTTATTCTTTACTATTTATACCAGCATATTTAGATTTTCACAGTGGTAAATAATCTCTCTCCCTTCCTCCTTCCCTCTCTCCCTCCCCGTCTCTCTCCCTCCCCCAGCTACCAAACCACACGGATTCTCTCTACTCCCTCCCTATCCGTCCCCCCTGTTACTCTTCCCTCGTAGCCTCTCCCTCGCCCCGCACACCACAGTCGGGCGGCAACTTATACCGTATTCTCTTCCTCTCACCTCCTCCTCCACCCGTCCTCTGTACTCTCCCTTCCTCCCTCCCTAGCCCATCTCTCCTCTCCCTCCCCCGTTCTCTCCTTCTCCTTCTCCCTTCGTCCTTTTCGTTGTCTCTCCCTCTCCCTTACCCCGTTCTCTCCCTTCTCCCTCCCCCCCCGGCGCCGTTCTCTCCCGCCTCTACCCTCCTCCCGTCTCTCCCAATCTTACCGTCTATCCTCTCCCTCCCCCCGTCGTCTCCTCTCCCTCTCTCTCGCGCCTCTCTCCTCTCCCATTCTCCCTCTCCGCTCCTCCCTCTCCCTCTCTCTCTCTCTTCTCTCTACTCTCTACTCTCTCTCTCTCTCTCTCGCTCTTCTCTCTTCAATAACAAAATAGGGCAACTACGAGTGCCGGCCATATTAAAAGCAAAACTGGAAGACTTCAATATTATGAACAGTGACCTAGAACATGAAAATTACAATATTATTAGAAATAGCTACAGTAGCTCCATCCCCCCCCCTCTTCTCTCTCTCTCTCTACTCTCTATATATATATATTATATATATATTATATATCATATATATATATATATATATATATCGCGCTCTCTCGCTCCTCTCTCTCGTTCCTCTCCCCATCCAACTCTCTGCCTCTGTCTCTCCCTCCCTCCCTCCTCGCTTCAGGTCCATTCAGTTACAAATTATGTCTCTGATCTGTAGGTTCGTCTTAGGCAGCATCAGTCCAATAGCTAAGATTTTTTAGGGCACGTCAGGACTATACCATTTATCTACTCTATCATTGGCGCCACCATTGGTATCCATATGTGTATATCTCGTCTCCGCTCGCACGCGTGTCGCTATAAGATCATTGCAATGTTTTGCATATCTATCGGACACTCTGTCTATGACACTCAACTGGACATTAGAGTCGCGTCGGATAAGAAAAAGGTGAACCATATGCTCCCCATATCGTATACCCACACTCCGGAAAATGTTTGACATTTTGACATGTTCCCTATAAAATTGTTGCTCCAGTATGCTGTGGATGATCAGAAGTAGATCAAATGTAACAAATTAGCATTGGAGATAGCGGCGCGGTATGGCTACTGAGTGTGCGCAATCATCAGGATAGGCGCGGGGTACTTGTAAGTCCTACATTATTCCTTGTAGCACTGGGGGGTGTTTATAACTTTATGGCATTTTCTTATTTTGCTCCACCCCCCCTATCAAGATAAATAATGAATGGTCCCTTATTTATTTTCATAATAGAGCGCTTAGTCGGTTGCTGCAAACGACCGACTTTCGATTATAATCGATCATCGGGACATCACTACGCATGACCGTAGGCTGAATTTCATTAATGATTAGTTTTCGTTAGTATATTCTTTTGCAATTCAATCATGATACGACTTTTCAAAAGTTGACAGGAGGAATATTGTACCAGGTTTTATCATATGCTTAGTACACATGTACAAATAAATATCTATTGAACTTTAATCCTGTTTTATTGTTCATAAATATGTGACATATATAGCAGTAGACACTAGCTATATATTAGTGTTACTAAACTTGGGCTCATAATTTTCCAGTATATGATGCCAGCCTGCCAGGAATATATCTACTAATTACCAGTACCATCCAAACAATGTAAGAAATCTACGCAATAAAAGTATTAATTATCTTGCAGATTTAGCCAGTTGATCAGTTCCTAACTATCATATTATGAATAAATACTACAACAGTGCAGTAATCACGTTTCACAGTTGCCAGCTCACGAACTACCAAAGTCAAAACCAGGAATCAATTGACAGGCATAAGATGCTAATGATCCCACACGATACATTTTATACAATTAAAATGATGATAAAATAATAAACACATCCACGTACACAACATGTACGTTAATAGTTTACTAACACTTTACACACCACTTCGATGTAAAAGGCTATCAATAATTTACACATATTTGCAGTGACTCTACTCTCACTCGTACAAAGACACGAACACAGTGCTAACAACAGTGGTCAGGGTAAACCTACTGATAACTGCATTTCTCATTGCTTGCGTGTTGTCGGCAACGCTGCTTGACACACGTGAGACCGCAGTGTACTTGACATGTTGAACGCAGCATCGCATAGCTGACAGCTGAACGGCTTCACACCAGCATGCACCTTCTGCATGTGAGCCTTCAGGTTGCTCGACACGTTAAATGCTGCACCACACACCCGGCACACGTAAGGTTTCTCGCCCGTGTGAATCCGTCGGTGTCGCCGCATGTTGCTTGAATCGCCGAACCCGGCAAAGCATATGTCGCACTTGTACGGGCGGTCGCCCGTGTGCGTGCGTGTGTGAGTGCGCAGGTGCACCAAACTGGAGAATGTCGTGCCGCACGTCCTGCATTCGTGTCGCTGCTTCTGCTGTTGCGGCTTCTCGCCAACATCACACCTTGCAGCGTCGCGTGTTTGCTTTGCCGCGCTGCTGCGCTGGAGACCCCTGTTGTTCTCGCCAACGTGCGTGCGCGAGTGAATCCTCAATAGTAGCTCGCTGGGGAACTGCGTATCACAGGTGGCACAGCTGTAGGCGCCGGCTACGTTGTGCTGTTGCGCGGCGTGCGTGCGTAGCAACGCTGCACACTCGAATGTTACTCCACACCTATCGCAGCGGTGGGGCCACGGCATCGCCTGGCCGCTCCATTGTGCTTCTGGGGCGACGCTCAGTTGGGTAAAGGGCGGCGCGTACGTAGCTTGCACGAGATTAGCCGAGTTGGCCGCACATGTGAGAGAGTTTCCACCCTGCACCAAATTGTCTCGCGTGTTTGGAAGTCGCTTGCGCGATTCCTTCAGCCAAGCATGCGTGCCATCGCTCGCATGTTCCGTGCTTTCGGATGACTCGGCATCGACGAGGTAATGTAAGAAGTCGGCTGTTGTGTCCATCCTTAGGCGAGACACATCAGCAATGGAACCACAGGGGGCACCACTGTACTGAGACATAGCAGGCAATGAGAGTTTCATGTCGCATGTTGAGGCAACATCGTCATTAGAGTTTTGCAACGGCATGGTCTCACCATTCGACACTTGCAGCAGTGCGGCAGCATCAACATTGACACTAACCGAAGTCGAAGGTGGACCCGCATCCTCTGTGGAGGGCATGTCAGACTCGTCTGCGGCTTCCACTTTTATTACAACAGTAGATTCGCGATCGACGTGCATCGATACATCGGTTCCTTGTGGCTCCATCGTGCGTGTGTCTGGATTATGACCTTGAGACACCAGAACTTTACAGTGGACCGTTCGTGAGTGCATGAGGAAGGCACACTCGGTAAAGAAGCATTCGCTGCATGCCGTACACCGATAATACGTGTCAGAGCTGCCAGCAGGGGGAGCTACTGCATGCAGGTCCGCCGCTGCAGGATAGTGTGAGTGCTGCATCATGTGGAGTGACCTGTCAAACTTAGACAACTCGTTGAGAATCACCTGCAAGAAAGGGAAAACCAGTTGCAATCTTTCAGCACCTTTTTGAACCTGTTTACGACAGCTTAACACGCCAATGCACGCTATACTTTACACGTTTTCATTTCTACTCAATTGAGTGAAGCTACCCTCTTGCGAGTGACGAAATCACACATCTCATTGTAGGTTTTATTATAGTCAGTCACTTTCACTCCATAAGTGTTTATCTCACAGATGGGCATCTGACCCACCTGTTGTATCACATTATAACTGCAGACGGTGGAGTCACACACGTCACGACGTGTCGTTTCAAGTGGTATCTGCGCCGGAACTCTTTTTTACACAGGTAGCATTTGAACGGACGTACTCCCGTGTGCGTCTTCATGTGCTCGGTCATATTTTTGCGGAATTGGAAGGCGGCGTGACACACGTCACACTTGATCGGTTTGTACTTCTTGTGATTCTCTCGGATGTGTTTGTTGAGGTCCGTCTTCAGGTGACACTGTATCGCACAGACAGGACACGTGTAGATATGGTTCCTGAGTAGTCTCGCCCCCCGATCGTCTAATCCCCACCCCCCTCCGCTCACGCCAGCCATATTATTTGACACACTGTTTGCCTCGCCGACTGCTTGTCGGAAGTGCCCCAAGCCTCTGCCACTGGTTTCAGGTCTCCTGCGCAGAGCGGGACCACTGCTGACTCTCTGTGGCACACGATCGGTACTGCTGTACGCTAGCTCGGTGTGCCGCATTCGGAATGGCTGTAGGAAATCGGTCTCTTCAAAGCAGACAGTGCTGCCACCTGCTGCATGACCAGCAACCTCGCCCGCTTCCGTCTTGACGACAAGTCCGCCGCATGGCGGCGCGTGTGACATGTAGCTGGCCTCTCCGCTCGCCATGTCTGGCTGCATGTCGTGATCTTCGTACTTCAGCAGAGCCTCGGCCGCGCTGATCTTTGAAGAGCTCTCGACAGTCTCACTGCAGCAGGCGTTGCTGCCATCCTGCTGTGCTGGCTCGCGAAAATGCTGACCGCCAATCAGTCCTTCACGACGCGTGCAAACACCAGGGTTGTACACTTGCAACGAGCACGTGTCGGCGTCTTCGTGACCTTGCTGCGACTTTGAGATGAAGTCGCTAAGGTCGTGACATTGTTGGCCATGCTGCGGTTTAGCCAGCAGGTCGTCAAGGTCGCCGCGCTCGTTACCTTGATGTGACTTTGTCATGAAGTCGTCAAGGTCACTGCGCCCTTCCTGCTGCTTTCCGATAAAGTCCTCAAGGTCATGACACTGCTGCCCTTCTGGGACATCGCCACTGATGTCAATAATGGGTGACATTGTGGTGTCGCTGGGGTCCTGACCTTGACACACTAGAACTTTGCAGTGAATCCTCTGTGCGTGAGCAATGAACTCTGCATTTGTAAAGAAGCATTCCGCACAAGCAGTACATCTGTAATAGCATACGCATGCCATTTTGTGGAAGGGTAAATGTTTGAACCAGGTGCACCTGAAATAAAGTGAAAAACAACTGGAAGTTTCTGATATGTGAAATACCTGTCGGAACAATGCCTGTTATAATGAGCACACATGAAGTTTGGACATAACTGGATTTAGAATACAACAAGTAAAAGTACCCATGCACACACGAGCTAGTTTTTATTTTTTTTAATTACGTCAAGTGTAGAGCACGACAGCCACTGTAACATCTAGTGCTTCTGTCTGCATGCGGTTTCGTGTCGTCGCAGGTGGTATTTCCTTAAAAATCTCTTTTGACATATCACACATTGGAATCGGCGCTCTCCAGTGTGTTTTCTTAGGTGTTTGTTCAAATCACTACGCATCAGGAAAGCATAGCTGCACACATGACATTTCAGCGGCTTAAATTCTTTATGCATCTGTTGAATGTGCTTATACAGACTCCCCTTCAATCTATATTCTAACATGCAGACAGGACAGAAGTAGCTGCCCTTTCTGACCAGACCTCCGTTTCTGGTCCACACATTTTCCGACACTTTGTTCAAATAAGCAATAGCGTCTGCAGAAGCAACTGCTTCCGACTGCGTGTTTACATCGCTAGCACTGACGCCAGTACGACGTCTCACTGCACTTAATTCGCACACAGGTTTTTGCAACTCTATTACATCTGCTTCCTGCAGGCTAGAGGTACCAGCACCACTATCATTAGTCCAGCACTCTGCACTCTCTGCACTCGGTTCTCTTGTATTATACTGCGACATATGAAATGGTTGTGAGAATTCAATTTCTTGCGCATCTGCAGCAGGTATGGACAGCACTTCCTCTGGGTTCTCACTGTCCTCAGCTCTACCGGTGGCAGTTTGATCGCACGACGAATCAGAAAACAAATGATCACTTAGACATATGAATTCTGGTTCTTTTTTTTGTACGACCTCGCATTCATCAAGGCTTTCTACTGAGGTGACTACAATCTGTGAGTAGGTCTCCAAGCGTTCACCGAAGCCAGCCTCGGTCCTGGCAGCTGGGTCCTGCACTTCTGGTTGAACAAACACCTGCTGCATTGCCCGACTCAGCTTCACTCTCTCATCCCGCAAACTAGTTCCGATCTCCTCTATGTCACCATCTTGTTCTAATCTCACTCCGTCGTCTTGTCGAGGAATTTTAGCGCGGGTCTTCGCGGCGTCACCACTGTGCTTGTATACATACAACCTTGCACGCCTATCAAGACTGTCACGCTTTTGTGCCCTCCGACGACCATGGAGGACGGACTGCCGCGTGGACCTTGCCACGTCGCTACGATTGCACTGCTGCTGGGCCTTAGGAAATTCATCAATGTAGTCACGCTGTTCTACTGCCATCGAATCTCGATGCGACCCTCCAGCATTGCCAAGATTGCCACTCACAGGCATAAAGGTCATAGAGTCACCAGGGTCATGACCTTGACAGACTAGCACCTTGCAGTGAACAGACTGTGCGTGAGCGATGAATGCTGCACTGGTAAAGAAGCATTCGCAGCATGCCGTACATCTGTAATAGCATACTGTGTCAGATGCCATTATGAGTGCATGTAAGAGTTTCGAGTGTAATGTAGCAGCAACTATTGATGACACAGGGGAAGCCTCATCTGAAAGAGACACAAAGACAGCTGCTGATCATTGAACTTATAGTGCGCAGATCATAATTAATGATATTATATAGGCAAGCTGGCATTCTAAACAGCTGCGCACATAATTCACTAAAATTGCACGAGATGAAATCGTTCTTTTAAAAGTTGTTACCGATTTGACACACATATATGATACCACACTTTAATGTTTTACTTCTTGTTATCAACCAGACCTTCCAAAATCAAGAGAAGGTGAATTTCTTTACTTGGAAGATGTATGTTCTACCAATCATCTAATTATTCTAATAGAAGTCGAGCAGATGGATATTTCACTCACTGACACCGGAGTAACGGGACTGTATAAGTTACAGTACGGTATATAGCGGAAATCATTCAAGCATAGTCCTAGGTGATCAATGCTAGGATAAACACAAAACGCAAGCTTCAATTTCAATTTCTGAGGCACGTAATCATGCTATAGCTAGGAACAATGTTACACCAAACACTTTACATTGCCTTGTGACTTGTTACTTGAGGCAGTGCCACTAATCAATTATAATGCACGAAAAACCCCTTTGAGACTAGAATACTCAATTAATTAGAAATGTCTTTGCACTGATGCTGTCATTTATCTATATCTATCCATTTATATATATATACAGTAGAACCCCGATTTTACGCGCCCCCGTTTAACGCAAATTCGGATGACATTTTATGGACCTCAACCATCGCGTTATAATGGGGCTACACAGTATTTATATATATACATATATATATATATATATATATATATATATATATATATATACCAGGTGCGAATAACCGGATCGAACGTCAAATACTCCCTGATTTGACATTATGGCAGGAAGTCGTGTGACTCCTGAAAATTCTCCATAGCTACTGTTCGTTCCGGAGCACGCGCTCGATGGAACTGAACCGGTATTTTTCGCAAGTGCCCAAGGAAGAAAATTTGATTAACAGACGTCAACCGCATGAATCTTAAAAAGTAAACACAACGGGCGTAGTAGTTGTTAAGATCCTTAATTTTTTGAAACCTCATGACTGCACTCAATTTGCTGTGGACTCCATACTTTTGAGGGTAGGGAGTCTGTTGGAACTGCCCAGGGTTTAAAAGTAATTTCTATCCCAGTGAATATACTATACAGTGCACGAATGAGATTTTTTTGCACGCGGCCCAGAGGGCTGTAACAGCAATTTCACTCACCAGCCCTCATAAATTTGTGTGTAAAATCAATGTCATGTTCCAAAAAAACACGTGCGTGCATTTTCGATTTCAAATTTGGTAACATATGTTGATTATTTACGGTGTGATATCCTTACAGAGTAAAAAATAATGTAATGGAGGCCATTTTGCTCATTAATGCTATAAATAATGAAAGGTGTCAATGACACTGTAGTTCAACGCCTTGTGGTGTGATAGAAGAGGGAGTGGAGATATATACAGCGAAGAGATAATTATGTGGAGATTCCCATTATATAACTCTTGATATGATATATATGTATCGTTTACATGTCGAAAAAAAAGAAGTGCTGAAATCTGATGAAGATGGCGCTACGGCCTAAATGATCGCCGACCCTTTTGGTTTTCGAATATCGCGCATCGGAGGACGAAAACACCAACGTATAAAGTAGACTGTACTAGTCAAATTTTAGGTGACCCGCTTGGCTATCTCCCAGGAACAATGCTAAATTATCAATAGTATAGCATGTATAGGAGGATAATACACAATGGAGATAACTGTCACATATGTAGAGTTGTTGACGAAAGCTAGACGAAATACACCGTAATGGAATGTTGTCATCTTCCGCATAAGGCTACAACTGTTTTGGTGCTTAGCTAGTTACACATTCACGATACCAACATTTAACAAAACTCGAATGAATTTAGATGGCCGATTTTCATTTTGCCAAAAGTGGCGTAACTCGACAAGTAGGTCGACTGGCGTGCTCCAAAAATAGGACCGTTCAAATCTCTCCGATAGAGTAACAACTGTATAACAATTGAAACATGTAGCAAACGGTCCTTGTCAATCAAAGTGACGAGGCATAAGAGCGGCACGCAGCACACATAGAAATTGCGAACTCGGTGCTGATTCTGTAGTTGTCACCAAAATTCGTCCGAGAAAATGAATTGTTTGCACCTAATAGATATGCATATATTTGTATAATACACAAAACAATATCAAAACGCGATATGTATGATAAGTACTCCGAGTACCAGTCGCTCCTAGCTATTTGCGTCACATTGTCACGGTGTATAGCCAGTAGAATTTGGAGACCACAAACCCATTGAACCCTGCTATTTCTGACTCGTAGCCATTTCCATTTTTGCCAAAAAGTGGACGTGCTCGAATGTAGGTCGACTGGCGTGCTCCAAATTAGGACGTTGAACCCGGCTCTCATCGTGAGGGTAACAACTAGATTTGGCAAATGTGAAAAAGCATTGTGGGAGTCCAAACGGTTCCATCCACAGTATGGATCATGGACATTGACCCGTTGCCCACCAACGGGAGAAATAAAGCTCTGGACCGGTATGAGACGAGACGCAGACCATGGCGGTCAATAGCATTTGCATCTATGCAACATATCTGTCACAAAATCGGGGCGAGCTAAAAATGTCGGTCACTGCGCTACCCACGGGCTGAAACCACGCGCTGTCCTTATGTCGTGAAAGCCGGCCAGCACACATAGAACAAATACATTTGCCCAGCATATGCCACACGGAGGGAAGATAAACCGGTACATAAGTGCCCTGCGTAAATTGGCCATTGTGTGAGCCTCGGGTCCTGTATACTATAATAATACTATATACAGGAGTATAATGAACAAATTGTCATTATACGCTCCTGATGATATACAGGATTCTCCCTCCAGCAACCTAAGATGAAGACGGCATACCTTAGGCAATATCAGGCAAGTCCATCGCCAGATTGCTATAATGAATTACTTGGATCGAAGGGCCGCAATACCCAGGTATACTCAGCTTGGAGACATATTCAGGCAAGCTGGAAAACATGCCATGACTAAATGCAACAAAACTGGAAATAAGCGCAGGCAGAGGACTTATGGATTTATCCAAATCTGTTTCTGAAAAACTTGAATTGCAGCGACATGTTTGATATGTAGAGGTCGGCCATCATCTTGCTTTACCAGCTAGCGCTGGGCACAGCACTATCGTCTGCCACCCCACAAATACATTTTATAAAAGTTCGCCAGCAAAAAGATAACACATTGTTGTACGAAATCCATTTTTCGTACCAGATAGGTTGTAGTGGTCGTGTTAGAAGATATAAACGAAGAGGCGACATTGTGATGAAAGTCGCCGTGCCAAATTATTAAACCTCAACAACGACTCAAGTATTTCCAAGAATCCAATTCAGTGAAGATTTCCCTAGCTTCCACGCCATATAGTAGTCTGGTATTCTCCATGGCTTGTTCTGTAATCGTTACGGGTGGTGCCCACCTTAGATCACGCTTTTCGCGTCCTACAATCGATGTGAATGAGTTTCAAAATGCTTATGATGATGCTTCAGTTTTCCAGCCCCAGTCTCCCATGGGTTGATGTCTAGGTATGAATGTACCAATTTACTTACACTAGTAACAGCCTCGCTGCAGGAGTGCTTTTGCTCCTCTTGCTAGTAACGTGTCAGGGCACAATCAGTGACGCCGATCGTAGACTTGAATCTATCCTTTTATTCCTGAGTCTTGCATGCTAACGCACTACACGACGCTCCCACGCATGTAAAAATCATTAGGATACATACACTTTACTCATAACATGGCGTAGAAGTTGATTGGCTCAGTGGCGGATCCAGGGAGGGGGGGCGCCGGGGGCGGTCGCTCGTGTTAGAAAGACCCGACGCGTCCACGCTAAGAATTTTCAGGGAAAGGGTACTTATAGCACTTAACACCCAAGCTCACCCATCGGGCCGCTTCGTGCCCTTGAGCTCGCATCGAATTCGCACCACCCCCCACCCCCCCTAGAGATTCACTTCTGGATCCGCTAACATTGATTATATTAATTAATTTTCACTATAAGCCTTGCTCCTATAAATTGACAGTTCATGTATCCTTATGTACTACTGACAATTGTACCCTGTGCCTGTAGGCTGTACAGTGCACATTCCTTTATTGGCTTTACAAGTGAGCCGCGACCAGGGTGTTAAGGGCTAACAATAGAAAATACACAGCCTGACACACAGGTATTCGAAATTTGCTACTTTATAAAACTGTCCTGGTTTCTACATGGTAACTGGGACAGTTACCTTTACAAAAGTTATCCGCTTATTTTATGAAGAGAAACGAGATGAAAAGCGTGAAATGCGCGACATCTCATATGTGCCAAGGCTTTTTCTTAAGGGCCCCGAATCTTGCAGATAGTTGTAATTTTCTCATTTATTTATTCTTCGTCTCGTATAATTTTACAGTATTCACTTATTCAGTAACCAAGTTACAGTCTAGGCAGAGACTGAGAGAGAGGTCGAAAATTATGATAATAATTTTCATTAGAAATACACATAATTGTTCACGTTGTAGATATCAATTTGGATTTTTCAAATAAAGGGTGATGTCACACAGTTAGTAGTTACTGTCACTGTCAGGTTAATAGTGCTTTGGCTTTAGTAGCTCGCAGCCTGGTGCGGCTCAAAGGATAGAGATGATCGTCGCAGTAATAAAAGACATTTTTTTCCCTCCGATAGATCTGGCGCCAGCTACCTATAACCTTGTGCTTATATAGAGACTGAGCTATATATATATACATATAGAATATAACTATATATATATACGCTGAAGTCGCACACGAACACCCTGCATGATAAAAACAACCTCACACAAGAAAAGGAGAGAACAATATATCATGAACACAAATGAGGTGTTTTAAATTATATAATGATGACGGAGCAGCTTTTGCCGAGAATTACATCATCTTCATCAGGTTTCAGCAGACATTGCGAATAAGAAATAGCAAAATAATCAAAGCAAACACAATTGCGTTATAGATAGAGGTCAAAAATGAATGCTTCCACACAATCGCTGCGTTGCCATAAATAAAGGACGACAAAAGATACAACGCAATATATATATATATATACAGCACGCACAAAACACTACACACACACACAGCAACAGAGAGCATCACACGGGCACGCACACGAGCGAGCAGAGACAACGAAAGCAAATCGGAACACTCAACATACACACGTATAACTTAAAGTTTACGTTCATCCCGCAATTGGGAGCCATCACGCATAAATGCGATATTAACAGACGAACCCTACAGAATTATTCTGCTCAACTCATGTGTGTGCGAACGTGAGCTATTGTAATAATGGTCAGACTTGGAAGAAATACACATGCAGCGGTCAATCAATGCGTGTGTGCATGTGTGTGTGTGAGTGTGTATGTGTGTGTGTGTGTGTGTGTGTGTTGTGTGTGTGTTGTGTAGTCCTCTTGATGTGTGTGGTGTGTGCGTGTTTATGTGGGCGTGTGTCTAAAAGGTATGTTGACGTGAGTTCGTTTCCGTCGTATTCATGGTCACGCGGGCGAGAATTGAGTAATCAGTCATTTTGGAGTGATCTATACACGGCATTGTATATTGTTTTTTGATTCGATTATCATTCTAATTCGTCAATGGTCTGCTGAGACTCACTGTGATGCAAAGTGATGGGGTAATCCCGAAAGCTCGTCAATTTCAACTTTAAATCACGGCCTTATTATTCTATAAACCTTGACTTTGTTTTTATATATATATATATATATAACTATATGTGTGTAATAGTATAGATATAGATATATCAATATATAGATACATATCCAACTATGCTGGCAGGGGATAGAGAGAAATAATGCTACACATGTAGATATATATATACATATATACCAAAACAACCCAGCGACTGGCGACTGTGACTATGTACTTTAGCAATGACGTATATATAGACGTAGCGACTAGAGACATTGAGATGCGTATGTATATACATAGAGCCTTATATCAGCGTCGTGTGTCGATATATATATATATATATATAGACATACATATAGCGCTGGCAGTGCGGCAACACAATAAAACGCTCTGGCGTATGTATATACCTGAAACGTAGAAATAGACATGCTGATATATATATATACATATTGGAAAGTAGATAGGCTGGTGTTGTACATGTCTGTGAATATATATATCTAGATATATATATATATATGTAAAAACGTATAGCCCTCCGACTGATTGCCGCCACACGATGCACCAATCGGGCGCAGCGAGTTGGGAAATTAGAACATGCGGACTTGGAGCAGTGCAGTCGGACGGTTTTTCTGCCAAGTGGTCAATCAGAGAACAGTAATGAGGAGGTGTGTGCCTCCACCGTAGGTAGGGGGCGAGCACGTTTCTGCTATCGGCGCCACGCTGCCGGCGTGGAATACATGCACAAATTCGTATCGGCGTCGCCCCGCGTGTAACTACGGGTGAAATGTTGAAACGTTTGCCGCGTCGCAGCCGATAACGTAAATGAGTTTGTATGGGACTAGTTCGTCTTTAATAGAGGTGTCGGGTTGCTACGAAGGCACTCGCAGACATTATTACGTGTATGGCATGAATGAATCAGCTATTACAGTACTGTTACTGAATGAACTGATAATACAGGCGCGTGTTTGCTGTAGTCTACGCGAGCAAGAGCAAGGCAAGGCGAGCCGACGAATATCAACGGATTTCCAGGTAAGTTACTGCGGAGAGCAAGTAGTATCAGTGCGTAAATGCCACGCGCAAATACGCAGATACATTTGAGGGCCGTAGCACAGGAACATCACGGAAAATTCTCGCGCGTAGCAATGGTGAGAAACAGTCGGAAACGGGCTAGTAGTGTCGCTTAAACGCAGTTTTTCCCACACTTCCTGTAAAGTCACATGTTTCTCGGTCGAAATGAACAAACAACACCTTCAAGAACACCCCTGTCGATTTTAAAAGGGCTACACCCCCATTTACGAAAATGACATAGGACATAAGTCTCAATGTGGACATCATCTCTATCCTTGAACCGGCTGTGGTCGGTCACTGAGACTGCCACTGGCACTGGTGCCGTGGACGTGGTGGTCTGTCACTCTGTGGTCAGAATCTTGATTGTAGATGTGAACAATTTCGGTATAAACTATCTAACTTTATTAATACTATATTAAAACCATACTTATCACTAGTCGATCCTTATAATATCTTATAATTGAAAGTAAATAACAATAGCACATTTTAACCAAACAATGCGATATAAATTACATACATACGCCATACGCCCAAACACTTCTGGTTTTTCAACAGGTTACTGGCGCCCTCTATACATGCAATCTTATTATCAGGATGCAATTTGTGTTTTCTAATAAAATCCTGTTAATTACTGCCTCTGGTTAAAGCCTTTTCTATTTACCTTTCCCTTTATGCATACATATAAAAACTAAAACTTAAGTTAATATGTAATGAAAATGAGCCGTACCGCGCGTAGACCCAGCTCATAGATCGATTATATCACGCTGATCTTACAATATCTCACGCACAGCAAAAAAATGCTGAGATATCTCACGCATGAATATCTCTTCATGAATAAAACGCTGAAATATCTCACGCACAGCAAAAAAATCTTACAATATCTGAAAACAGTCACTTTAGTATGCACCAAAGTGCACGAATTGAAGTTATAAAATGCAAAAGCTCCCTACCGTGGGAGGGGGAAAACTCCGTAGCCTATGGGGAGGTCGAAGACTCTACATCCTATAGGGCCGTAGGCTCACTGAACTGCGACGTTGCATGGCTACACGCTCCTATAGGATTAACATGGATGGATAGGCAAATCGAGCGACATTGAGATAGATAGTAGAATAATAGTTGATAGGCAAAAATGTAGAGGAGGTAACCAGGATACGGAGTGGCGAGCGTGGATAAAAACGTCGTGTGAGGCGAGAGATGGGGTGGAAAATGTTGGAGGGAGTTTCGACGCGCTCGCGGAAAGCTGCCTCGCGGTGCTGTACACAGGCACTTGGAACTCAATAAAAAAAGAATGGTAAATAAACACGAAATGTATTTACTACCAAAGTCTTAATGTTTCTCTACTCTATTTCGCCTATTATTATAGTTCGCCTATTTCGCCTATTAGAGTTGTTCTATTATTCTTGTTGTTTGTGCACAGGGCGTGCGTGCGGTGTACTTGCGTGTTGCAGACGAGCATTTGAACGGCATTTACAACAAGTTATCGACAATAATAGGCGAAATAGAGTAGATGGTAGTTTGGTAGTATATACATTTCGTGGTTATTTACCACTTTTTTTATTGAGATGTTCCAAGTGCCCGTGGTGCTGTACGTGCGAAAGCATGGCCAGGAGCTGATGGGGGTTATCAATCGATAACCAGCCGTGCATAGGGAACATGCAGAATGAAGCGCCGTCGATATGGCGTTATAGAGAGTGAGCCGGCGGCGATAGCGAGCGATGAGAGCTAGGGAAGAAGAGAGGAAAGGCGAACGACTTAGGTACAGCATAAGATAGTAGAAGATTGATAGAGAGAGGAAGAGGAAGAGAAAGGGAGAGAGAAAGAGGAAAGGGAGGAGAAAGGGAAAGGAAAAGATATATATATATATACAGGGTGCAAAATTAACGGGAGTCCGAAGTCAAATACTCCCTGATTTACTGTCGGACTCCCTGATTTGACATATGCAGGAGTCCGTGTGACTCCCTGAAAATTCTGCCATACTAACTAGTTCGTTCCGGAGCACGGCCTCATAGAAGTTAGAACTACCATATTTTTTCAGCTAATGTCCAAAGAAAATTTGACAGACGTGCAACCGCATGAATCTTAAAAATAAACACATGCGTTATTGTTAATATCCTTAATTTTGAACCTCATGACTGCAAACTCATTTTGCTGCAGACTCCCTCTTTTTGAGGGTAGGGAGTCTGTTGGACTCCAGTGTTCAAAAGTTAGGGTTAGGGTTAGGGTTAGGCTATTTGCTCATTAATGCTATAAATAATGAAAGTGTCAATGACACTGTAGCTCACCTTGGGTGTGATAGAAGAGGGAGGGGGGGATATATAAAGCAAGAGTATATATGGGAGATCTCCCATTATATACTCTTGATAATGATATATGCATAAGTTTTGATGCGAAAATAAATGTTTCAGATCTGAAAGTCTGAAATCTTGATGAGAGATGGCGCTACGCCTAAATGATCGCCATTTTGGTTTTCGAATATCGCGCAAATAAAAACAATAAAATATTCCAGTCAAATTACTGTAACGAAAAATCTAAAACACAAGATTACACGTATATATATAGGTATGATTGTAGAGTTGTTGACCAGTTAGACGAAATAAACGTAATAAGATGTTGTCATCTCTTCCATAGGAGTAACAACTGTTTTGAGTCTAGCCTTACACATTCACATACCAAAATTTAACAAACTCGAATGAATTTAGATGGTCATTTTCATTTTTGCCAAAAAGTGGGCGTGGCTCGAAAGTAGGACGTTCAAATCTCTCCCATAGGAGTAACAACTGTATACAATTTGAAACATGTGGGTCAAACGGTTCTTGTCATCATTGACCGTAGGCAGACACTGAAATGCCGGGCATCGAATTTGGCAACTTGCCTCTGACAGCAAGTAGCAACACCTCTGACGGCAAATCAATATGTTCCGGCGGCAAATGCCGTCAGTTGCCGTCGTAAAATTCAATCCCTGAATGCATAGTAAAATTGCCAAAATCTACTTAATGTGCATATTTAAAAAATATAAAATCCCGTGTGATATGTTTTGGGGCCAGTCAGTCTAACTGACTTATGGCATTTCCATTTTTGCCAAAAAGTGGACGTGGCTCGAAGGTAGGTCGACTGGCGTGCTCCAAAATAGGACGTTCAAACCTCTCCCATAGGAGTAACAACTGCATGCAATTTGAAACATGTGGGTCAAACGGTTCTTGAGTTATCGTTGACCGTAAGCAGACACTGAAATGCATAGTGAAATTGCCAAAATCTGCGTAATTTGCATATTTTAAAAAAAATATCAAAATCTGTGTGATATGTTTTGGGGCCAGTCCTCCCTCATTCATTCACATACCAAAAATGAGCAAAACCCATTGAACCTGAACTGACTTGAAGTTGTAGCCATTTCCATTTTTGCCAAAAAGTGGACGTGGCTCGAATGTAGGTCGACTGGCGTGCTCCAAATTAGGACGTTGAAACCTCTCCCATAGGAGTAACAACTATATGCAATTTGAAACATGTGGGTCAAACGGTTCCCGAGTCATCGTTGACCGTTGCCAAATGTTGACGGACGACGGGCCATGGCAATAGCTCATCTTGACAATGTCAAGGCGAGCTAAAAATGTAGGTACTCGCTAACACGGGCTGAAACCACCGGCTTGCCTATGTTACCGGCCCTCCAAATAATTTGCCAGCATATGCCGGTGGGCCGGTGCTAATTTTGCACCCTGTATATATATATATATATATATACAGGAGCGTATAATGACAAATTGTCATTATAAATATATTGACCGTACAACTACTGGTTCTTCCTATACGTATATGGTTCGGGCTAAATAATAATGATTTGCCAGACCTTATGTAAATACAAGACACGTACTACCCATACAAATATTCTTGTTATCGCCGAATTGAAGTATAATCTCTCTTGTGGGGAGAGATAGAGAGAGAGAGAGAGAGAGAGATTACTTGCTCATCGCAGAGAGATACGGTTGTTTACCGATTATTTCAGCTCGATTGACGCAAAGCTACGTAGACTACGTACGGCACTAGGGCGTGACACTCCGCCATGCAGGCGAAGGGTCATTGCTTGGTTACCCTTCGCCCCAAACTGCATGCAGCGTCCCCTTCGTACAACTGAGGATCATGGAGCCAGAGCCAGAGCGCTATCTGTCGTGGAGTTTGCCCTCGCCCCAAGCCGCTGTTACCCCACAATCAGAAAGACGCTGACCCACCAATACCTGCCTTCTGGTCTGGAGTAAAGGAACTATAAAGATCTAGATCTGACAAGCAGACTGCAACAGTTTACCCAACAAACAAAACAAACAAATAAAACCACCCTGGAAGCCAGAACGTCAGGACCATGCATGTGTCATAGCATGCACGCAGAGAAGACAATCCAACATGAATCATGTGCGTATCAAGGTAACCATGGACTTTAAACGCACTTCAAGAGATTAGACTAGAGTGGCTGAAACCGGATCTACTTCGAACGCCAACTACACATTTTTAATGGAAGGCGTACAAGACCGGCATAAAAAATGGCGCGGGCCTGGCAATCAGTAACAGATATGCACATAGGGGCCTACAAGCCATTGTGATACTTGGCTATTACATCTCCCAAACAGCTAGAACTCTGCCGAGAGATTCAAACTAGACATAACAATGGAAACAATTGCGTTATGTATAAACGAAATAAAGAGGTTACTTGGTCCTACCGTCAAAAAGTTGCCCTTCGAAAGAACTGATGATAGCAGGAAATTGATAGCTCGAAGCAGGTAGATTAGTTACTGGATGGAACACATTTTGAAGCTGTGCGCTCATGAAACACTCCTTCCTAATAGAAGCGATGGGGCTCCAGGGCAGGATGGAATCGCAGCCAAGCTGCTCATGTATAGGAAGCAGCAGCTGCTGCCTACATGCCTACCGTCCTAGCCACTGCTGGAAGGAGGTATCCGTCCGGCAGGATATGCTGACGTGATCATTCTGCACGGGGACGAATGTGGCTGAAAAACATTTAATGACCACCTACATAAATATAGCAATTACTACCCAACGTCACAGGCAAGGCCTTTGCTAGGTACCAGCTAGGCCGATATTGCAGAGGCTCCTGTGACTTGCTCAATATATAAAGAGAGAGAGAGAGATGGGAAGAGAGCGCGAGTGTCCGAGAGAGAGGGGGGGGAGCGCGCGCTGAAGGCCAGAGAACGTAAAGTGAGAGGGATAGGGCGAGTGAGGGCATTAGCGTCTAGTGACAGACTATTTTCATAACAGAAGGCAGAAGAGGCTGGGAAATAGCTGGGGTTTTAATTTCCAGGCGGGGTAGAGCGCAAGAGCGAGAATCTGCAATCCCTGCGGTGCCTCTGCATTATCTAGGATAGCAGCTAGTAGCCCGACCAGGCTGTGTGACTAACGTCAATATACACAGCCTGGTCTTCTAATCTTAGCAAAGACCGTTTCTTGGAGCTAGGATAGCAGTAGTGGGGCACCGTTTCTAGGCGATGGCTGGGCCGTAGGATGGTTACTCCCTGTTCACGTTGTGTCGACGTTA